TCAAATTTGGACTAACCCAACTTTTGGGTTAAAAATTTAATGTAAAAATTTAACCCAACAGCTGGGTTAGTCCATATTTGACCCAAAGTTGGGTTGAAACAACCCAGAATTTTTTAGAGTGTAAGATTATTTGAATGTTTTTAAAAGAAGACTCTTAAACTCACCAAGATTTAATTTATTTAATCCAAAATACAGTAAGAACAGTTATATTGTGAAATATTATTTAAAATGACTGTATAGTTTGAAAAAAAGCTACATTTTTAGCATCATTACTCCAGTCTTCAGTGTCACGTGATCCTTTTGACCAGTAGTGTATGTACTAACTTCCATTATTTCAAAGAATTCAGTCATATATAAAGAAATAATAATAGCCATCACATAAAAACTGTATTTTATTATTAGATTTTTGATAACTATTTCCACCTGTATTTATAGATAAGGGTGAATCCCAATCAAAAGTTGATGTAACAGCATTGCTGGTGGGCATCATCTCCGCTGGAGTCTTTATTGTTATAGTTGGCCTCCTTATCTGGTACTTCTGCCAGGGGAGGAATAAAGACCATGGCTTCCGAAGGTAAGGCTTTGTGAAGCACATTCTCTATGTTGAGAATTATGAGAATTATCCTAAGAGTTTGTCATTTACTGGAGAGACTGTTTGCAATGTTTCGCCTTTTAAATTTAGTTCATTCAGACGTCGATCCAACCGAAGCAATGCCTCTGTGATCATCCGGAGACTGGAGGAGGTCTCTCTGCATCCTATTCCTCACACAGGCTCAGATGCCAGCCCAGATGCTCATGCTTTACCTTCTTATGAACAGGCCGTCGCCATCGCCATCAATGGACCACTCCCTAAATAAATTCCTAATTTGCTGCTTATTAATAGTTAGTAAGGTAGTTGTTAAGTTTAGGTAATGGGTAGGACTAGGGATGTAGAATAAGGTCATGTAGAATAAGGCATTAATATGTGCTTAATTACTACTAATAAATGGCTAATATTCTAGTAATACGCATGCTAATAAGAGACCCTAAAATAAAGAGTTACCCTTACATTTACATAAGGCCTACTTAAAATCCCAAACAAGTGTGTGTGTACAGTAGTTTTATGTACACTACTGGTGAAAAGTTTGTAATAATTATGATTCTGAAAAATTTAGATGTTTTTCAAACATAATATTTTTGTGCAAGCTGTGATATGTTTCAAGATTCTTTGATGCATTTATTTAAAATATAAATGTTTTGAAATATTATAACAGTTTTTACTGTCACTTTTGATCAAGCAAGCTCGCTTACTGGATATAAGTACTATTTTGTTTCTTATTTTTTTAAATCAATCTTACCCCAAACTTTTGAATGGTAGAGTATCACAGTTTTCACAAACATATTAAGCAGCAACAACTTCGACATTGATCATAATCATAAATGTTTCTTGAGCAGCAAATCAGCATATTAGAATGATTTCTGAAAGATCATGTGACACTGAAGACTGGAGTAATTATGCTAAAAATACAGCTCTGCTATCACAGAAAGAAATTATATTTTACAATATATTAAAATATAAAAGTTATTTTAAATAGCAATAATTACTGTTTTTCATGAAGTAAATGCAGCCTTGCTGAGCATAAGAGACCTTTTTTTTTATTATTGTAATTATTCCAAAACATTTTGATCGGTAGTGTACATTCTTCAATATATTTGGACACTTTAGCCACACTTAAAAATATGAATGTCAATTTATTACACAAAATTTCAAACATTTATTTTACAGGAAATATAGCACAAGTATACTTTTCAAGCAAAACATGACAAAGATGTTTAATTTTGAAATGGCAAAACAATATACTTAACCAGGTACAGTCAAAAATATTGTGACGCGTTGTGGTTGTCTGTGGTTACTCTGCAGGGACAGTGGTTCTCAGACTTTGTCAGGTTGTAGACCACTTCAATAGTTAAACATAAATTGTGCACCACATCAAACCATCAGTCATCAGTCTCAAAAAAAAACAAACAATCATATTGTTTATACCCTACACTTATACCCTTGTTTATGCACCCTGTGATAGATATATCATATAAAGCTAAATGCTGCATTATAAAGTTTTTACTGTATTTGCCAAACCACTGTATTAGCAAATCTGTCTGAACTTGAAGGAAACTGTCTTAAAAGTTAGTCCTGAGGCACAGAAGAAAAATAATCTGATATTTCATTAGCTAACACAATTGCATTAAGATATCTTATTGTAGCCGCTATGTGTGTATGTTTTGCTTGCATGTTGGAGGTTCACAGTTCTCTAAATCTCCTCAGAAGAATAAAGTTAATATATGGACCAAATGATAACCTGTATAAGAACAAATGGAAAAGTAGACGTGTGTACATAATAATAACTGTTTATGATTACAATGTAAAGGTGTATTTTGGGGTAAGATTGTCGACAGGGAGAGGGTATAATAATTGTATTAATTTTAGTAACAGTCTCCACAGGGATACAAGCTGCGCGCGCGTGTGTGTGTTTGTGTGAAGAGAGAGAGAAAGCAAACGAGAAAGAGACAGAGGGGGGAGAAAAGCAAAAAACTTCCATCTAAAGTTTGTCGGAAGTGAATGTTAGGGAGAAAACGCCAATATGGGGACTTGAGGCAGCTGCAGCGCGTCTGTCTCTGTGTGGTTCTGTTTGGGGGCCACGAGCAGCGATTCTCGCCCTGCGCTTAATCCACAGCACAAATCATCCGTCAGACCCCCGGGACCAGCGCTCGGATCACCGCAGGACACACGACGTTTGAGGAATATGTGATTTTTTTCACGCTCGGTTGAATGTGTAGTTGTATCGGGGGACGCGCGTCATTCCCGATCCAAGGCGGATGATGGAGAGGAATTACCCGAGCCCCAGCTTCGCAGAGCCGGTCAGCGCGGCGGCTCAGAGCGCGGGCTGGGCCTACAAACCTAGGTACGAGAGGGCGGGTCGCCTCCCGAAGAAAACTCCGGTGATGGAAGGCCTAGCGAAACACACACACACATACACCCACGTAAAAGTGTCAAGACTCATATAAAGCTAGTTTTAATGGAGTTAATGCGTTTAAAGCTGCAGTCTCTCGCGTATTTACACACCGTGATGATGTTTGTACATCTGCTGAATCTGCTCAAATCACTGATCACCTTTAAACCCGCACTGCACTTAAACACTAATGCATAATTATTCATTTTGACGTATGTTTTGCCGATGAATCATCCGAAAGTGCAGGATAAGGACTGTGTCAGCTTGTTCGCGCATATTTAAACTTGTACAGCAGTCAGAGTGTCTTTGCAGACATTGAGGAGGTTTGTAAACAATTGATCGATCAGTGTTGCAGAAGGGCCACGTGTCTGCAACTTTACACAAAGTGTCTTATTTAGTTCTGTCTGTCACTGATTTTCCTTAAACTTCCACACGTGTGGCATTAGTGCATCATGTTTGTATGCATAAATTGCCTTCCTTTATCAGGCAACGATGTCAGATGTACTATTGTATAATTATTTATTCAGTATAGCATATTAAAATTAAATTTAAGTGCAAAATGGGGTGGCCAGAACACTAGTTTTTAAGTGCCTGTGTCTGATTGTGGACAGGTAACAAACTTCTGGTAGACACATTATAACTGACCCACTTAGATAGTTTAGCGACCTTATTTTTGGAAATTCCCATGAAGTGTGTACTGCATAGAGCCATTCATAATTCCTAATAATGCACATTGTGATCTACTGTATTTTTCATGCCTAAATCTTTCTAATACGTCATAACGCATGACATGACACATCAGCCTGGAAACTATTAAAAGATAAAAATGTAGTGTATTATAACTATGGTTATAATTATGAGGTCTTATTAGCTGTGTTATAATGCATTAGGAATGCATTTATAATGCAGCTTGTTATGTTATATAATCCTGCTTGTATTGTGTGTTTTTGTCAGAAATAAGCACCAAGTGGTTTGCAAGTCAGAACAAGGGACGATTAGTTTATTACACTGTACTAGCATGCAAATAATTGCACAGGTAGTTCTGTTCACTCATTTGCAAAAATCAGTTCCCATCTTTTAGCTTAGGGTTTTTGAATGGTTTGGTTGAAATGTACATTGACACCAGCAGGAATGAGAATTTGTAGTGTACCATAAGAATATATATATATATGTGTGTGTGTGTGTGTATAAAAGAAGGAATTTATAATACAGTAACAAATGGACACACATTTAAGTTCCAGTAGGTTCATTAGGTTGTTGTAGTAGTTGCATATATGCTGCTGGTTTTTTATGTATTAAAATGATCACTGTCACGTACAGTTTAATAGTTTGCTGGCTGTGCTACTAACTGAAATAGAGCAGCTAATAGGAATCCAACAGACTAGAACTAGCTGATGGATATTCACTCTTGTTAGTTTATACAATACACATCCACACTGAAACCATCAAAAACAGCCAGGAAACAAACCCAAATGTTTAGTTGGCCAAATATATAGTGCAGACTTTCCTCTATTTAGCAAGAGATGTGGCATTGCTAAAATCATAACAGACAAACTAACCAACTAAAATAGTTTCCATTTGTTTTCTCTGACATCAGTCTATTGTCTTTGTAGTTCATTTTTGTCTCGTTAGCTGTGAAATATAGCCTACATATTACATTTAAAATGTTAATATGTTATGACAGAAAACTTGTATAAATATGCACATATAACTAACCAATCTATGCAACTATTACTAGCTTATTACATACACTACTACTACCAAACTAGTCTGCATCACAGAGAACTTGCGTAATAATATCTGTTATTATGTCTGAAATAGTTTGTTTTTGTTATATTAAATAGTTTAGAGTTACGCGAATGTGTACAGTAAACACCTCTAGAATGTTATGTGCGAAGATACTGTATATAAATGTGCCTGTCCTAACTGAATATTAAAGATCTTTGCGTGAGCTCAAGTTTGTGGTTGGATTTTTAAATATACAAAATATGCCATCTAAAGGTAGCTTTTTTTTGCTTTATAGTTATAGTTATGGTTCTACACAGTTGGACTCTGAGCTCCTCCAACGGCAGACCTTTGCCTCTACTCACCAGCCAACGTTTACCACCACCCACCATCCCACAGGTGAGCAACAGGTTCAGGCTGTAATGAGATATAGTTACTGCTTAAAGTCATTGACAGCCTGTTGTCTGTCTATGATATCTCTCTCCTAGGAGTGTTTGATCAGCACAGCACCGCCAGTAGCAACACTACTGAATCATCGGTCATGAACTTCCTCTCCTCTATTGAATCTAGAAGCCTTCAGGCTGGACCTGCTGGCTCTACTCTTCTCCCTTCATTTAGAAGTCCATCCTGGCAAACTGGTAAATATACATATACAAATATACATTAGGTCTCTTATTTAGAGAAACCACTGAGGCTGAGGTGATGCTGCACCATCTTATCAGCGATAATTGTACTCACAGTTTCTCAGTTGCCGTCATCCTTAAAGGGTCATGAAGTAGATAGTTGGGGTTATATGAAATAAACTAGCTGATTAATAGGTCATCATTTAGTATTTCATGAACATTTTCCACCCTCTCTTAAAATTAAATAGGCCATTTTTGCTGCCTAGCCTCTAAGACTCTTTTATAAACTCCCTCTTTGCATGTGAAATGATGAATTAGCACATTGCTGCATTTACACACAGGCTGCAATTTTGTTGTTGTGTCCATTATAGTTTGCACTGTTTCATCCTTCAATAACAGTCTCATAGCAAAGTTTGCATTACAGCGTGACAAGTTCACAAAACTGGCTGAAATGCATCGCTAAAACTGTTATAGTCAGACTGAAAGAATCAGGTTCCTTATTTCCTCTTACTCTTAGCATTA